ACTGAGGCACGGCCTGGGGGAAACTGAGGCACGGTCCGAGGGAAACTGAGGCACGGCCTCGGGGGAAACTGAGGCACGGTCCGAGGGAAACTGAGGTACGGCCTCGGGGGAAACTGAGGCACGGTCCGAGGGAAACTGAGGCACGGACTGGGGGGAAACTGAGGCATGGCCTGGGGGAAACTCGGGCACGATCCGAGGGAAACTGAGGCACGGCCTGGGGGGTGTGGGGGTGGGCAGGGCTCGGAGGAAACTGAGGCAGGGGACGGGAATAACCGGATCCAAAGGGGAAACTGAGGCACGGGACGGGAACAACCGGATCCCAAAGGGAAACTGAGGCACGGGGTGGGCATAACTGGATCCCAGAGGGAAACTGAGGCAGGGGATGGGAATAACGGGATCCCAGAGGGGAAACTGAGGCACGGGACGGGAATAACGGGATCTCAAAGGGAAACTGAGGCACGGGACGGGAATAACCGGATCCCAGAGGGGAAACTGAGGCACGGGACGGGAATAACCGGATCCCAGAGGGGAAACTGAGGCACGACGCTGGTTGAACCAGATTCCCGGGAGTGCCCGGACTCACCGGTGGGGTCCCCGGGATTGACCACGCAGAGAACCCGCGGGCGGCACCGGCCCCGCGCCCCCCGCAGCTCCCGGAGCAGCCCGGCCTCGTCCGGGACCCAACCCCGGGGCTCGGAGAGCGCGTACGGAACCGGAACCGCCCCCGCCAGGAGCGCGGCCTCCCGCAGAACCGGCGGGCCCGGGACCGGCACCAGAACACCCGCGGGAAGGGCCGGGGGAGGCAGAGAGAACAGAGACAGCACGAACTGGGAATGGGAATAACAATGGGATAACAATGGGATAATAACGGGATAACAATGGGAGAACAATGGGAGAACAATGGGATAATAACGGGATAATAACGGGAGAACAATGGGATAATAACGGGATAACAATGGGAAAACAATGGGATAACAATGGGATAATAACGGGATAACAATGGGAAAACAATGGGATAACAATGGGATAATAATGGGATAACAATGGGATAACAATGGGATAATAACGGGATAACAATGGGAAAACAATGGGATAACAATGGGATAACAATGGGATAACAATGGGATAATAATGGGAAAACAATGCGATAATAACGGGATAGCAATGGGATAGCAATGGGATAACAATGGGATAACAATGGGAAAACAATGGGATAATAACGGGATAACAATGGGATAATAACGGGATAGCAATGGGATAACAATGGGATAATGGATAATGGGATAACGGGATAACAGGGTAACGGTGGGATAATGGGATAACCAGTAACCAGTACTGGGATAACGGGATCTGGGCTGGGGGCCCCATTCCCTGTTTGGGGTCTTCATTCCAGGTTTGAGGTCCCCATTCCCATTCCCATATCCCATTCTCATATCCCAGATGCCAGATCCCATATCCCAGATGCCAAATGCCAGATCCCAGATTCCAGATCCCTATCCCATATCCCATATCCCAATATCCCATTCCCATATCCCATATCCTATATCCCATATCCCATTCCCATATCTCAGATCCCATATCCCAGATCCCATTCCCATATCCCGTATCCTATATCCCATATCCCATTCCCATATCCCATACCCCATTCCCATATCCCATTCCCATATCCCATATCCCATTCCCATATCCCATATCCTATATCCCATATCCCATTCCCATATCTCAGATCCCAGATCCCTATCCTATATCCCATATCCCAGATCCCATATCCCATATCCCATTCCCATATCCCGTATCCTATATCCCATATCCCATTCCCATATCTCAGATCCCAGATCCCTATCCCATATCCCATATCCCATTCCCATATCCCGTATCCTATATCCCATATCCCGTTCCCATATCCCATATCCCGTTCCCATATCCCATATCCCATTCCCATATCCCATACCCCATTCCCATATCCCATTCCCATATCCCATTCTCAGATCCCATATCCCATATCCCATATCCCATTCCCATATCCCGTTCCCATATCCCATATCCCATTCCCATATCCCATACCCCATATCCCATATCCCATTCCCATATCCCATTCTCAGATCCCATATCCCATATCCCATATCCCATATCCCATTCCCATATCCCATACCCCATATCCCATATCCCATTCCCATATCCCATATCCCATTCCCATATCCCATTCCCATATCCCATTCTCAGATCCCATATCCCATTCCCATATCCCATATCCCGTTCCCGATCCCGTTCCCGTTCCCGCTCTCTCACCGGGATCATGGTGGCGGTGCCGCTGCACAGGATGATGTTCCCGGGATCGCAGGGGAATCCATCCCGGAATTCCAGGAACCGGGAGATCCTGCCGGGAACGCCGTGGGATCGGTGCTCATGGTTGTATCCCCCTGTGGCAACGATATCGGCCTCGGATCCAGCGGGATCGCACGGAAATCCCACGGGATCGGTCCCAAATCCAGAGGGATCGGCCCCAAATCCAGTGGGATCAGCCCCAAATCCAATGGGATTGGCCCCAAATCCCATGGAATCCCAAATATAATGGGATCAGCCACAAATCCCATGGCATCCCAAATCCAGCGGGATCAACCCCAAATTCCATGAGAATGGTCCCAAATCCAAAGGGATTGGCCCCAAATCCAACGGGATCCCAAACCCAGCAGGATCAGCCTCAAATCCCTCAGGATACCAAATCCAATGGGATCAGCACAAATCCCATGGGATTGACCCCAAATCCAATGGGATCAGCCTCAAATCCCATGGGATTGACCCCAAATCCAATGGGATCAGCCTCAAATCCCATGGGATTGACCCCAAATCCAATGGGATCAGCCTCAAATCCCATGGGATTGACCCCAAATCCAATGGGATCAGCCTCAAATCCCATGGGATCGCCATTCCCACCGATATTCCCGGAATCCATTTCCCGCAGGATGCTCCGGGCCCGGTCCCGCACGGCCTCGGGGAGAACGGGAGACTCCAAAAGTTCGGGAAGAGCGCAGGCGGCCAAAATCTGGGAATGGGGACACGGGGAATTCGGGATGGGGGACACGGGGGGACATTCCCGGTGATCCCGGTTATCCTGGGGGGATATTCCCGGTTATCCTGGGGGGACATTCCCAGTTATCCCAGGGGACATTCCCGGTTATCCCGAGGGACTTTCCCGGTTATCCCGGGGGGACATTCCCGGTTATCCCGGGGGAACATTCCCGGGGACATTCCAGGTTATCCCGAGGGACATTCCAGGTTATCCCGAGGGACATTCCCGGTTATCCCGAGGGACATTCCCGGTTTTCCCGAGGACATTCCCGGTACCTGGCGCAGGACCAGGGGCAGCTCCCGCCCCGCGGCCTGAGCGTCGTCACCGCCGCAGTCCAGGGGTGGCACGAACGGCTCCGGGGACAACAGCGGGGACACCCCCGGGGACAGCGGGGACACCAGCGGGGACAGCAGGGACACCACCGGGGGCTCCGGGGACACCACCGGAGGGTCAGGTGGCTCAGGTGTTCCCCCCGGTGTCCCCAAGGCCCCCGGTGCTGTCCCCGGTGTCCCCGCTGTCCCCAGGGTCCCCGGTGATGTCCCCAAGGTCCCCGGTGTCCCCTCCTGTGTCCCCGGTGTCCCCAAGGTCCCCGGTGCTGTCCCCGGTGTCCCCAGGGTCCCCGGTGCTGTCCCCTCTGTCCCCGGTGGTGTCCCCGGTGCTGTCCCCAAGGTCCCCGGTGCTGTCCCCGGTCTCCCCAAGGTCCCCGGTTCTGTCCCCGGTGTCCTTAGTGGTGTCCCCGGTGCTGTCCCCTCTGTCCCCAAGGCCCCCGGTGCCGTCCCCGCTGTCCCCGGTGCTGTCCCCGGTGTCCCCAGTGCTGTCCCCTCTGTCCCCAAGGTCCCCGGTGCCGTCCCCGGTGTCCCCTCGGTGGCCGCCATGGCTGTGACGGTGGCGGTGGCGGAGCGCCAGGGGGAGGTGACAGAGAAAGGGACGGGACGGGAGAGCGGGGACGGGAAAATGGGAAATTGGGGGAAAAACCGGGAAAAATGGAGCTGGGAATGGGAGAGGGGGGAAAAACCGGGAAAAATGGGGCAGGAAAAGGATAATGGGAAAATGGGGGAAAACCGGGAGAAATGGGGTGGGAAATGGGGTTGGAAAAGGGAAATGGGGAAAAACTGAGAGAAATGGGGCTGGGAATTGGGTATTGGGGGGAAAAACTGGGAGAAATGGGTTTGGGAATGGGATATTGGGGAAAAAACTGGGAGAAATGGGTTTGGAAAAGGAGCTGGGAATGGGAAATGGGGGGAAATTTGGGGAAAGTGAGGCAGGGGCTGCTCTGGGAATGGGATCGGGAATTGGGGCAGGGAATGGGATAAGGGGTGGGAATGGCCCCAGCGGGCCCGGGACAGCTCCGTGTCCCCGGGTCACCCTCGGCATGGGGCACTGGGGGGACCCCAAAACATCAATCCTGACCCCAAAACATGGACAGGGACCCCAAAACATGGACCCAGACTCCAAAACATGGACCCGGACTCCAAAACATGGACCCGGACCCCAAAACATGGACCCTGAACCCAAAACATGGACCCGGACCCCAAAACATGGACCGGGCCCCTCCCCCAGGCCGCGCTTCCCGAGGATCCCAATCCTGATCCCAAAGATCCCGATCCTGATCCTGAAGATCCCAAGCTTGATCCCAAAGATCCCAAGGATCCCGATCCAGATCCGATCCTGAAGATCCTGAGGATCCCAATCCTGATCCTCATCCCGATCCTGATCCCCAAGATCCCAATCCCAATCTTGATCCCGAGGATCCTGATCCCAATCCCAAGGATCCTGAGGATCCCGAGGATCCCAATCCCGAGGATCGCAATGCTGATCCCGAGGATCCCGATCCTGATCCCAAAGATCCCAATCCTGATCCCAATCCTGAAGATCCTGAGGATCCTGATCCAGATCCCGAAGATCCTGAGGATCCCGATCCTGATCCTCATCCTGATCCCGAAGATCTCAATCCTGATCCTGATCCCAATCCCAAGGATCCTGAGGATCCCAATCCTGATCCAGATCCCAAGGATCCCGAAGCTCCTGAGGATCCCAATCCTCATCCCGATCCTGATCCCGAAGATCCCAATCCCACTCCTGATCCTGAGGATCCCAATCCCAAGGATCCCAAAGATCCCGAGGATCCCGGTCCTGATCCCGATCCTGATCCTGATCCCAAGGAGCCCTGAGGGTCCCCAGGGCTGCGAGGACAGCGATGGTGGCACCCAGGGGACCCCCGGGATCAGCGACATCCAAAATTCCCGGAGCTCCAGGGGTTCCCAGGGAATCCCAAAGATCCAAATTCCCAAAACTCCCAGAACTCCAAGAAGTCATTCCCACCACCCCCATCCCCTGCCTCAGTTTCCCTTTTGGGATCCGGTTCAACCAGCGTCGTGCCTCAGTTTCCCCTCTGGGATCCGGTCATTCCCATCCCGTGCCTCAGTTTCCCTTTTGGGATCAAATCATCCCCATCCTGTGCCTCAGTTTACCTTTGGGATCCGGTTCAACAAGCGCCGTGCCTCAGTTTCCCTTTAGGATCTGTTTTTCCCACCCCATGCCTCAGTTCCCCCCTAGATCTAGTTAAACCCACCCCGTGCCTCAGTTTCCCTTTGGGATCCACTCATTCCCACCCCGTGCCTCAGTTTCCCCCCAGGCTTGAATTTTTTAGGGGGAATTTTTTTTTCCCAAGAAATTTCATTCTGGAAATTTCTTTGGGAAAAAATTTTTTGGGGGGGTGGGAATTTTTTTTTTAGGGGATTTTTTTGGGGAATTTTTTTTCCCGGAAATTTTTTCTTCGGGGAATTTTTAAAATTTATTTTGGGAATTTTTTAGGGGGGAATTTTTGATGGGAATTTTGGAGGAGCCACAATTCCCAAGGATTGGAGGAGCTGGAATTCCCAAATTCCCAAGGAACTGGAGGATCTGAAATTCCCAAGGAATTGGAGGATCTGGAATTTTGGAGGAGCCAGAATTGCCAGGGATTGGAAGAGCCACAGTTCCCAAGGAATTGGAGGATCTGGAATTCCCAAGGAACTGGAGGAGCTGGAATTTTGGAGGAGCCAGAATTTCCAGGGATTGGAGGATCTGGAATTTTGGAGGAGCCAGAATTTCCAGGGATTGGAGGATCTGGAATTCCCAAGGAACTGGAGGAGCTGGAATTTTGGAGGAGCCAGAATTGCCAGGGATTGGAAGAGCCACAGTTCCCAAGGAATTGGAGGATCTGGAATTTTGGAGGAGCCAGAATTTCCAGGGATTGGAGGATCTGGAATTCCCAAGGAACTGGAGGAGCTGGAATTTTGGAGGAGCCAGAATTGCCAGGGATTGGAAGAGCCACAGTTCCCAAGGAATTGGAGGATCTGGAATTTTGGAGGATCTGGAATTCCCAGGGATGGGAGGACCCGGAATTCCCAAGGAATTGGAGGATCTGGAATTCCCAGGGAGCGGAAGAGCCACAATTCCCAAGGACTGGAAGAGCTGGACTTCCCAAATTCCCAAGGAATTGGAGGATCTGGAATTCCCAGGGAGCGGAAGAGCCACAATTCCCAAGGACTGGAAGAGCTGGACTTCCCAAATTCCCAAGGAATTGGAGGATCTGGAATTCCCAGGGAGCGGAAGAGCCACAATTCCCAAGGACTGGAAGAGCTGGACTTCCCAAATTCCCAAGGAATTGGAGGATCTGGAATTCCCAGGGAGCGGAAGAGCCACAATTCCCAAGGACTGGAAGAGCTGGACTTCCCAAATTCCCAAGGAATTGGAGGATCTGGAATTCCCAGGGAGCGGAAGAGCCACAATTCCCAAGGACTGGAAGAGCTGGACTTCCCAAATTCCCAAGGAATTGGAGGATCTGGAATTCCCAGGGAGCGGAAGAGCCACAATTCCCAAGGACTGGAAGAGCTGGACTTCCCAAATTCCCAAGGAATTGGAGGATCTGGAATTCCCAGGGAGCGGAAGAGCCACAATTCCCAAGGACTGGAAGAGCTGGACTTCCCAAATTCCCAAGGAATTGGAGGATCTGGAATTCCCAGGGAGCGGAAGAGCCACAATTCCCAAGGACTGGAAGAGCTGGACTTCCCAAATTCCCAAGGAATTGGAGGATCTGGAATTCCCAGGGAGCGGAAGAGCCACAATTCCCAAGGACTGGAAGAGCTGGACTTCCCAAATTCCCAAGGAATTGGAGGATCTGGAATTCCCAGGGAGCGGAAGAGCCACAATTCCCAAGGACTGGAAGAGCTGGACTTCCCAAATTCCCAAGGAATTGGAGGATCTGGAATTCCCAGGGAGCGGAAGAGCCACAATTCCCAAGGACTGGAAGAGCTGGACTTCCCAAATTCCCAAGGAATTGGAGGATCTGGAATTCCCAGGGAGCGGAAGAGCCACAATTCCCAAGGACTGGAAGAGCTGGACTTCCCAAATTCCCAAGGAATTGGAGGATCTGGAATTCCCAGGGAGCGGAAGAGCCACAATTCCCAAGGACTGGAAGAGCTGGACTTCCCAAATTCCCAAGGAATTGGAGGATCTGGAATTCCCAGGGAGCGGAAGAGCCACAATTCCCAAGGACTGGAAGAGCTGGACTTCCCAAATTCCCAAGGAATTGGAGGATCTGGAATTCCCAGGGAGCGGAAGAGCCACAATTCCCAAGGACTGGAAGAGCTGGACTTCCCAAATTCCCAAGGAATTGGAGGATCTGGAATTCCCAGGGAGCGGAAGAGCCACAATTCCCAAGGACTGGAAGAGCTGGACTTCCCAAATTCCCAAGGAATTGGAGGATCTGGAATTCCCAGGGAGCGGAAGAGCCACAATTCCCAAGGACTGGAAGAGCTGGACTTCCCAAATTCCCAAGGAATTGGAGGATCTGGAATTCCCAGGGAGCGGAAGAGCCACAATTCCCAAGGACTGGAAGAGCTGGACTTCCCAAATTCCCAAGGAATTGGAGGATCTGGAATTCCCAGGGAGCGGAAGAGCCACAATTCCCAAGGACTGGAAGAGCTGGACTTCCCAAATTCCCAAGGAATTGGAGGATCTGGAATTCCCAGGGAGCGGAAGAGCCACAATTCCCAAGGACTGGAAGAGCTGGACTTCCCAAATTCCCAAGGAATTGGAGGATCTGGAATTCCCAGGGAGCGGAAGAGCCACAATTCCCAAGGACTGGAAGAGCTGGACTTCCCAAATTCCCAAGGAATTGGAGGATCTGGAATTCCCAGGGAGCGGAAGAGCCACAATTCCCAAGGACTGGAAGAGCTGGACTTCCCAAATTCCCAAGGAATTGGAGGATCTGGAATTCCCAGGGAGCGGAAGAGCCACAATTCCCAAGGACTGGAAGAGCTGGACTTCCCAAATTCCCAAGGAATTGGAGGATCTGGAATTCCCAGGGAGCGGAAGAGCCACAATTCCCAAGGACTGGAAGAGCTGGACTTCCCAAATTCCCAAGGAATTGGAGGATCTGGAATTCCCAGGGAGCGGAAGAGCCACAATTCCCAAGGACTGGAAGAGCTGGACTTCCCAAATTCCCAAGGAATTGGAGGATCTGGAATTCCCAGGGAGCGGAAGAGCCACAATTCCCAAGGACTGGAAGAGCTGGACTTCCCAAATTCCCAAGGAATTGGAGGATCTGGAATTCCCAGGGAGCGGAAGAGCCACAATTCCCAAGGACTGGAAGAGCTGGACTTCCCAAATTCCCAAGGAATTGGAGGATCTGGAATTCCCAGGGAGCGGAAGAGCCACAATTCCCAAGGACTGGAAGAGCTGGACTTCCCAAATTCCCAAGGAATTGGAGGATCTGGAATTCCCAGGGAGCGGAAGAGCCACAATTCCCAAGGACTGGAAGAGCTGGACTTCCCAAATTCCCAAGGAATTGGAGGATCTGGAATTCCCAGGGAGCGGAAGAGCCACAATTCCCAAGGACTGGAAGAGCTGGACTTCCCAAATTCCCAAGGAATTGGAGGATCTGGAATTCCCAGGGAGCGGAAGAGCCACAATTCCCAAGGACTGGAAGAGCTGGACTTCCCAAATTCCCAAGGAATTGGAGGATCTGGAATTCCCAGGGAGCGGAAGAGCCACAATTCCCAAGGACTGGAAGAGCTGGACTTCCCAAATTCCCAAGGAATTGGAGGATCTGGAATTCCCAGGGAGCGGAAGAGCCACAATTCCCAAGGACTGGAAGAGCTGGACTTCCCAAATTCCCAAGGAATTGGAGGATCTGGAATTCCCAGGGAGCGGAAGAGCCACAATTCCCAAGGACTGGAAGAGCTGGACTTCCCAAATTCCCAAGGAATTGGAGGATCTGGAATTCCCAGGGAGCGGAAGAGCCACAATTCCCAAGGACTGGAAGAGCTGGACTTCCCAAATTCCCAAGGAATTGGAGGATCTGGAATTCCCAGGGAGCGGAAGAGCCACAATTCCCAAGGACTGGAAGAGCTGGACTTCCCAAATTCCCAAGGAATTGGAGGATCTGGAATTCCCAGGGAGCGGAAGAGCCACAATTCCCAAGGACTGGAAGAGCTGGACTTCCCAAATTCCCAAGGAATTGGAGGATCTGGAATTCCCAGGGAGCGGAAGAGCCACAATTCCCAAGGACTGGAAGAGCTGGACTTCCCAAATTCCCAAGGAATTGGAGGATCTGGAATTCCCAGGGAGCGGAAGAGCCACAATTCCCAAGGACTGGAAGAGCTGGACTTCCCAAATTCCCAAGGAATTGGAGGATCTGGAATTCCCAGGGAGCGGAAGAGCCACAATTCCCAAGGACTGGAAGAGCTGGACTTCCCAAATTCCCAAGGAATTGGAGGATCTGGAATTCCCAGGGAGCGGAAGAGCCACAATTCCCAAGGACTGGAAGAGCTGGACTTCCCAAATTCCCAAGGAATTGGAGGATCTGGAATTCCCAGGGAGCGGAAGAGCCACAATTCCCAAGGACTGGAAGAGCTGGACTTCCCAAATTCCCAAGGAATTGGAGGATCTGGAATTCCCAGGGAGCGGAAGAGCCACAATTCCCAAGGACTGGAAGAGCTGGACTTCCCAAATTCCCAAGGAATTGGAGGATCTGGAATTCCCAGGGAGCGGAAGAGCCACAATTCCCAAGGACTGGAAGAGCTGGACTTCCCAAATTCCCAAGGAATTGGAGGATCTGGAATTCCCAGGGAGCGGAAGAGCCACAATTCCCAAGGACTGGAAGAGCTGGACTTCCCAAATTCCCAAGGAATTGGAGGATCTGGAATTCCCAGGGAGCGGAAGAGCCACAATTCCCAAGGACTGGAAGAGCTGGACTTCCCAAATTCCCAAGGAATTGGAGGATCTGGAATTCCCAGGGAGCGGAAGAGCCACAATTCCCAAGGACTGGAAGAGCTGGACTTCCCAAATTCCCAAGGAATTGGAGGATCTGGAATTCCCAGGGAGCGGAAGAGCCACAATTCCCAAGGACTGGAAGAGCTGGACTTCCCAAATTCCCAAGGAATTGGAGGATCTGGAATTCCCAGGGAGCGGAAGAGCCACAATTCCCAAGGACTGGAAGAGCTGGACTTCCCAAATTCCCAAGGAATTGGAGGATCTGGAATTCCCAGGGAGCGGAAGAGCCACAATTCCCAAGGACTGGAAGAGCTGGACTTCCCAAATTCCCAAGGAATTGGAGGATCTGGAATTCCCAGGGAGCGGAAGAGCCACAATTCCCAAGGACTGGAAGAGCTGGACTTCCCAAATTCCCAAGGAATTGGAGGATCTGGAATTCCCAGGGAGCGGAAGAGCCACAATTCCCAAGGACTGGAAGAGCTGGACTTCCCAAATTCCCAAGGAATTGGAGGATCTGGAATTCCCAGGGAGCGGAAGAGCCACAATTCCCAAGGACTGGAAGAGCTGGACTTCCCAAATTCCCAAGGAATTGGAGGATCTGGAATTCCCAGGGAGCGGAAGAGCCACAATTCCCAAGGACTGGAAGAGCTGGACTTCCCAAATTCCCAAGGAATTGGAGGATCTGGAATTCCCAGGGAGCGGAAGAGCCACAATTCCCAAGGACTGGAAGAGCTGGACTTCCCAAATTCCCAAGGAATTGGAGGATCTGGAATTCCCAGGGAGCGGAAGAGCCACAATTCCCAAGGACTGGAAGAGCTGGACTTCCCAAATTCCCAAGGAATTGGAGGATCTGGAATTCCCAGGGAGCGGAAGAGCCACAATTCCCAAGGACTGGAAGAGCTGGACTTCCCAAATTCCCAAGGAATTGGAGGATCTGGAATTCCCAGGGATCGGAAGAGCCACAATTCCCAAGGACTGGAAGAGCTGGAATTCCCAAATTCCCAAGGAATTGGAGGATCTGGAATTCTCAAGGATTGAAGGATCTGGAATTCCCAAGGATTGGAGGACCCGGTATTCCCAAGGATTGGAGGACCCAGAATTCCCAAGGATTAGGAGGATCTGGAATTCCCAAGGAATTGGAGGATCTGGAATTCCCAAGGAATTGGAGGATCTGGAATTTTGGAGGACCCGGAATTCCCAGGGATTGAAGGACCCGGAATTCCGGAAGAGCCGCAATTCCCAAGGACTGGGAACACCCAACCGGAATTCCCCAACCCCCCCTCCCCAAAATCCCACCCCAAATTCCATAAAAACCCTCCCGGATCCCCCCGGAAAAAGGCGAGGCTGGTCACTGTCCTTTATTTGGGAACACTGGGGGGGACCTGCCCCGCAATTCCCAAAAAGAAAAAACACCCGGAAAAGCCAGGTGGGAATTCCAGGCGGGAATTTTAAGAGAATTCCTTGACAAATTTGGTGTAGAAGGCGCTGAGTTTTTCCAGGAGGATTTTCAGTTTGTCCGTGGGAGGCAGGATCGTCATCCTGGCGGGAAAATCCCCAAAAAAAAAGGTGGGAAAAGGGAAGGGAATTCCCAAATTTTCTCCACTGGAAAAATGGGGAAAATTCCCGAATTTTGAAGCTCCTTTTTCCCGGGGATGCCAAAAAGTTGTGGTGGGTGGGGGGAGGGGATTTGGGATTTGGGGATTTGGGATTTGGGGATTTGGGATTTGGGGATTTGGGATGGAGGATTTGGGGATTTGGGGATTTGGGAATTTGGGGATTTGGGATGAGGGGATTTGGGGATTTTGGGATTTGGGATGGAAGATTTGGGGATTTTGGGATTTGGGGATTTGGGATTTGGGGGATTTGGGAATTTTGGGAGGGGGGATTTGGGAATTTGGGACGGGGATCCCCCCAGGAACAGGGAATTTGGGATGCGGGATCCCAAGAATCAGGAATTTGGGGTGGGGGATCCCAATAACAGGGAATTTGGGGTGGGATCCCCCCAAAAAGAGGGAATTTGGGATGGGGAATTCCCAGAAATCAGGAATTTGGGGTGGGGGTCTATCAGGAACAGGGAATTTGGGATGCGGGATCCCCTCAGGAACAGGGAATTTGGGATGTGGGATCCCAAGAACTGGGAATTTGGGATGGGGAATTCCCAATATCAGGGAATTTGAGATGGGATCCCCTCAGGAACTGGGAATTTGGGATGGGGGATCCCAAAATCAGGGAATTTGGGGTGGGATCCCCCCAGAATCAGGGAATTCCGGCCCGGGAACCCACCGGAAGTGGAAGGTGCCTTCCTTCTGTCCGAAGCCGCTTCCCGGGACGACGCAGATCCCGGTTTCCTCCAGGAGCCTCATGCAGAAGAACATGTCCGGGGCCTGCTGCTTCTCCTGGGAATTCCGCACGGAACGCGGTGTCGGAAAAACCGGGATCATGTCCCGCACACCCCACGTGGATCGGGATCCATCCCAAAGAGTCCCACGTGGATCGGGATCCATCCCAAAGAGCCCCACGTGGATCGGGATCCATCCCATCCATCCCACATCCATCCCAGTTTGGATCCCGTCCATTCCCACATCTCCCTGTTTGGATCCCATTCATCCCAGTTTGGGTCCCGTCCATCCCAGTTTGGATCCCGTCCATCCCCGTTTGGATCCCATCCATCCCACCTCCATCCCAGTTTGGATCCCGTCCATCCCCGTTTGGATCCCATCCATCCCACCTCCATCCCAGTTTGGATCCCGTCCATCCCCGTTTGGATCCCATCCATCCCACCTCCATCCCAGTTTGGATCCCGTCCATCCCCGTTTGGATCCCATCCATCCCACCTCCATCCCAGTTTGGATCCCGTCCATCCCCGTTTGGATCCCATCCATCCCACCTCCATCCCAGTTTGGATCCCGTCCATCCCCGTTTGGATCCCATCCATCCCACCTCCATCCCAGTTTGGATCCCGTCCATCCCCGTTTGGATCCCATCCATCCCACCTCCATCCCAGTTTGGATCCCGTCCATCCCCGTTTGGATCCCATCCATCCCACCTCCATCCCAGTTTGGATCCCGTCCATCCCCGTTTGGATCCCATCCATCCCAGTTTGGATCCCGTCCATTCCCACATCTCCCTGTTTGGATCCCATTCATCCCAGTTTGGGTCCCGTCCATCCCAGTTTGGATCCCGTCCATCCCAGCTTGGGTCCCATCCATCCCAGTTTAGATCCCATCCATCCCATTTGGAATCCCGTCCATCCCAGTTTGGATCCCACCCATCCCATTTGGAATCCCGCCCATCCCTGTTTGGATCCCACCCATCCCAGTTTGGATCCCGTCCATCCCAGTTTGGATCTTGTCCATCTCACATCTCCCAGTTTGGATCCCACCCATCCTATTGGAATCCTGTCCATCCCATTTGGGATCCCGTCCATTCCCACATCTCCCAGTTTGGATCCATCCATCCCAGTTTGGATCCCGTCCGTCCCAGTTTGGATCCCGTTCATCCCATTTGGAATCCCGTCCATCTGCCCCATCTCCCAGCTGGGCTCCCACCCGCCCATCCCAGCATTCCCAGCTCAGAACCCGCCATTCCCAGCATGGATCCCGACATTCCCAGTTCAGATCCCACAATTCCCAGTTCAGATCCCGCAATTCCCAGTTCAGATCTCGCCATTCCCAGTGCAGATCCCACCATTCCCGGTGCGGATCCCGGTGCAGATCAGATCCCAGCATTCCCAGTTCAGATCCCGCCATTCCCAGTGCAGATCAGATCCCACCATTCCCAGTACAGATCCCACCATTCCCAGTGCGGATCCCTATGCAGATCCTGCCATTCCCAGTGCAGATCCCGCCATTCCCAGTGCAGATCCCACCATTCCCAGTGCAGATCCCAGTGCAGATCCCACCATTCCCAGTGCAGATCCCACCATTCCTGGCGCAGATCCCGCCATTCCCGGTGCGAATCCTGGTGCAGATCCCGCCATTCCCAGCAGAGATCCACCATTCCCGGTGCAGATCCCAGTGCAGATCCCGCCATTCCCAGTGCAGATCCCGCCATTCCCAGTGTGGATTCCAGTTCAGATCCCACCATTCCCGGCACAGATCCCACCATTCCCAGTGAAAATCCCGGCACAGATCCCGCCATTCCCAGTGAAAATCCCGGTACAGATCCCGCCATTCCTGGTGCGGATCCCGGAGCAGATCCCGGCATTCCCGGCGTTCCCGGGCACCTTGGCGGCAGCCAGCGCTCCATCCGGGAGGTCGATCCGGGGGAAGGAGTACATGGCTCCCTGCACGGGGTTGCAGTGGATCCCCGGGGTCCGGTTGAAGATCTCCTGCGTCAGCCGCGCCTTTTCCGCCAGGGCGCTGAGCACGGCCTCCTTCTCCTGCCGGAAAACGGGATGGGAATCTGGGAATTCTCTTCCCGTTCAGCCCGGTTCATCCCGTGCCAATCCCATCCTGTCCAATATCCCAGCCCATCCCATGGATCCCATTATCCCATTATCTCATTATCCCATTATCCCATCCCACGGATCCCATTATCCCATTATCCCATCCCATGGATCCCATTATCCCATTACCCCATCCCATTATCCCATTATCCCATCCCATGGATCCCATTATCCCATTACCCCATCCCATTATCCCATTATCCCAATCCCAATCCCATGGGTCCCATCCCATGGATCCCAATCCCGCTGTTCCGTACAGCCTGGAAGGGCTCGTGGGACGGCTCTTCAGGTTTGGGCGGATCCCATCCCATGGATCCCATTCCCATGGATCCCATGGATCCCAATCCAAATCCCATGGATCCCCATCCCAATCCCATCCCATGGATCCCAATCCCATAGATCCCAATTCCAATCCCAATCCCACCGTTCCGTACAGCCTGGAAGCGCTCGTGGGACGGATCCCCGGGTTTGGGTGGATCCCATCCCATGGATCCCAATCCCATGGATCCCAATCCGAATCCCATGGATCCCATCCCATGGATCCCAATCCCAATCCCGCCGTTCCGTACAGTCTGGAAGCGCTCGTAGGACGGATCCCCGGGTTTTGGTGGATCCCATCCCATGGATCCCATCCCAATCCCATCCCATGAATCCCATCCCAATCCCATCCCATGGATCCCATCCCAATCCCATCCCATGGATCCCAATCCCATGGATCCCATGGATCCCAATCCCAATCCCGCTGTTCCGTACAGCCTGGAAGCGCTCGTAGGACGGATCTCCGGGCTTTGGCGGATCCATGATGGTGTCCAGGACCATCTGTCCCAGCACGGGCGGGCACAGCCGGACCGACACGAGCTTGGAGAGCTCGGCCTTCACCTCGGGGTGCAGGTTCACCACCTCCACGTAACCGCTCCGCAGCCCACACCTGCCGGACCACACCCGCATCAGAACCGCCCGGAATCCCCCGGAGCACCGGGAATGGGATCCGTGGGAGGAGAGGTGGGGATGGGGTAGGATGGGGAACGGGAATCCATGGATGAGAACATATGGAGAAGGATCCATGGATGGGATCCATGGATGGGAACCTATGGAGAAGGAGCCATGGATGGGGGCCTGTGATGGGATCCATGGGTGGGAACCTATGGAGAAGGAGCCATGGGTGGGAGATGTAGGTGGAATTTGGGGATGGGATCCATGGATAGGGGTTTGGGATGGGCATTTGGGATGGGAACCTGTGGAGAAGGAGCCATGGGTGGGGGTTTGGGATGGGAATCCATGGATTGGAACCTATGGAGAAGGATCCATGGATGGGGAACCATTATGAGACCCATGGATGGGAGATGAGGGTGGGCTTCATGGATGGAATCCATGGATGGGGGTTTGGGGTGGGGGTTTGGGATGGGAATCCATGGATGGGAACCTATGAAGGAGGAGCCATGGATGGGATCCATGGATGGGGGTTTGGGATGGGATCCATGGGTGGGGGTCTCTGATGGGATTCATGGATGGGAACCTATGGAGAAGGATCCAGGGACGGAATCTATGGATGAGAACCTATGGAGAAGGATCCATGGATGGGGGTTCATCATGGAAGCCATGGGTGGGAGATGTAGGTGGGATTCATGGATGGAATCCATGGGTGGGGGTTTGGAACGGAAATCCATGGTTAAGATATGGCATCCATGGAATCTCAAAATCCACATCTGATGTCACCTCCAACCCCAATCCAGGAGATCCACAGGGTGATGGCCTCTCCATCCCCAATCCATGACATCCATGGGGTGGTGGCATTTCCAACCCCAATCCAGAAATTCCATGGGGTGGTGGCCTCTCCAACCCCAATCCAGGAGATCCACGGCATGGTGGCATCTCCAACCCCAATCCATGACATCCACGGCGTGGTGGCCTCTCCATCCCACACCCTCCCCCATCCAATCCCACGGGATCCATGGGGACCTCTGGGATCCCAGGGCAGGAGGTGACAATCCTGGAATTCCCGGCACTCACTCTCCCATGTATCCCTTGGAGATGGAGTGGAAGGAGGCCAACTCCACCGAATCCGAGTAGGGCGGCCCCATCTCCTTCAGGACCTTCTTGAACGAGTAGAAGGCCGAGCCCTTGGCGTAGACGTTGTCCTGGTACACCTGGGCGGGATGAGACGGGACATCCCGGGATGTCACCCGCAATTCCGGGATTTTCCCGGGAATTTGGGACACATCCCCTGCCAGCCACGCCCACCTCGTCGGCCATGAGGAAAAGCTTCTCCTCGTAGGCGAACTTGATGACGTCCTCGATGCATTCCCGGCTCTGCACCTGGCCTGGGGACACCACGGAGGACGTGGGCACCCCAAAACTGGGCTCCCACTTCTGGGGTCCCTGAACAGTTTTGGGGTCCCAGTTTTGGGGTCCCCACCCACTTCTGGGGTTCCACTTCTGGGGTCCCCATTCAGACTTGGGGTTCCACTTCTGGGGTCCCCGTCCAGTTTTGGGGTCCCACTTCTGGGGTCCCAGTTTTGGGGTCCCTGCCCACTTCTGGGGTCCCAGTTCTGGGGTCCCAGTTTTGGGGTCCCACTTCTGGGGTCCCTGAACAGTTTTGGGGTCCCACTTCTGGGGTCCCTGTCCATACTTGGGGTCCCCATCCACTTCTGGGGTCCCAGTTCTGGGGTCCCTGAACAGTTTTGGGGTCCCACTTCTGGGGTCCCAGTCCTGGGGTCGCAGTTTTGGGGTCCATGTTTTGGGGTCCCCATCCAGTTCTGGGGTCCCAGTCCTGGGGTCCCAGTTTTGGGGTCCCTGTTTTGGGGTCCCCATCTACTTCTGGGGTCCCAGTTTTGGGGTCCCTGTCCAGTTCTGAGGTCCCAGTTCTGGGGTCCCACTTCTGGGGTCTCAGTTCAGTTTTGGGGTCCCCATCCAGTTCTGGGGTCCCAGTTCTGGGCTCTCCATCCAGTTCTAGGCTCCCACTTCTGGAGTCCCAGTCCAGACTTGGGGTCCCAGTTTTGGGGTCCCAGTTCAGTTCTGGGATCCCAGTTTTGGCGTCCCCATCCAGTTTTGGGGTGCCAGTTTGGGGTCCCAGTTCAGTTTTGGGGTCCCACTCCAGTTTTGGGGTCCCCATCCTGAGTTCCCAGTCCACCCCAGGACCTCACCGCAGGTCTTCCCCCATGGGATCCATCCCACGCCAAATATCCCACCCCAGATATCCCACCCCAAATATCCCACCCCAGATATCCCATCCCAAATATCCCACCCCAGATATCCCATCCCAAATATCCCACCCCAGATATCCCATCCCAAATATCCCACCCCAGATATCCCATCCCAAATATCCCACCCCAGATATCCCATCCCAAATATCCCACCCCAGATATCCCATCCCAAATATCCCACCCCAGATATCCCATCCCAAATATCCCACCCCAGATATCCCATCCCAAATATCCCACCCCAGATATCCCATCCCAAATATCCCACCCCAGATATCCCATCCCAAATATCCCACCCCAGATATCCCATCCCACACACCTCACGGACTCCACGGACCCCACACACCCCCACGGATCCCACCCCACACACCCCACAGACCCCAGATACCCCACGGATCCCACACACCCCGCACACCCCTCACACCCCACAGATCACACCCCACACACCCCATGGATCCCACACACCCCACAGATCACACCCCACAGATCACACCCCACAAATCACACCCCACACACCCCACAAATCACACCCCACAGCCCCCGTTACCGGTGGGGTTGCCGGGGTTGATGATGCAGAGCACCCGCGGCGAGCAGCGGCGGCGCCCCTCGTCCAGCGCCCGGCGCACACACACCCCACACACCCCACGGATCCTACACACCCCACACACCCCACACCCCACACAGATCACACCCCACAGACCCCACAGACCCCGTTACCGGTGGGGTTGCCGGGGTTGATGATGCAGAGCACCCGCGGCGAGCAGCGGCGGCGCCCCTCGTCCAGCGCCCGGCGCAGCTCGGCCACGTCCAGCGCCCAGCAGCGCTCCTCGGCCAGGTAGTAACGGACCTGCGCCGCGTCCAGCTCCGCCAGCGCCGCCGAGTAGAGCGGGTACTGCGGGATCGGGATCAGAACACCCGTGCGAGACGAGCCCGAACCGCACACCAACAGCTTCAGGATGTTCTGGGGGGACACACAGCGGGGACGGTCAGCGGGGGGGACAGGGGACAGTCACAGGGGACACGGGGGACACGAGGGACAGTCGGGAGGGGACACAGGTGGGACACTGGGGAAAGAAGGGGGACACGGGGGATAGTCAGAGGGGACACCGGGGACAGTCAGGGGAGGCGCCAGAGGGGACAGTCAGAGGGGACACCGGGGACACAGGGGGACAGTCGGGGGGACATGGG